TATATATATATTGTATCTACAGTGCCAGTACCTGTGAACTTGTATGATTTCCCCATGTGTGGTAGGGATTTTTCTGGGTGCTGTAGCTACCTCCCACAAATATATTAGGACATTACAGCTAAAATCCTTTCAGACACAGGGTCAATATGAATTTCTTGATCTACTTTGTGAGGTGCTGTGAATTATTTCACCTTTCTTTAAGTATGGAAAATGGATAAATATTGAGGAAAATTGTATGTGGATGTGTGCAACCTGTTAGTATCCATCCTATAGATTGTAAGCTCTCATGAGCAGGGCCTTCCTAATCCTAACCCTCCTGTATTGAATTGTGTTGCAACTGTAATTTCTCCCTTTATTTTTGTAAAGAGCTGTAGAAACTGTTGGCACTATATAAATCTTGAATAATAATAATAATAATAATACAGGTCCCTTTAGCTGTATAGCAAAAGCTTGTATTTCCTCTGGAGCGACAGCTATAACTGTCATAGACAAGGAATGCAGCGTATCATATTTTCACTCTGTTGCTACAGCGGGTACAAAAGGTGATTTTCTTTAAACAAATATATATCCAGCGAGAAATTAAACCATTTATCTCAAGGACAGGGCATCCTAGAAAATATTCAAGTAAAGAGCTCTGCTGACCCCTGGTGGGGAAAAGGTGAGGCTCCTTTTTAAAATAGCTTTCTGCTTTCCTATCGGCCACTCTGATTACATCTCACTATCTTATTAATAATGTTGACCCAAAACAAAGCCTTAAAAAGCAATAAAACTAGATTGCTTCCTATCAGAGATAGCGAGGGCTGAAGTGCCATTTTGGAGATGAGGCTATATTTGGATGTGCACCGAGGAACAGAATGATGATATATAGAAGTGTCACAGTGTGTGCTCTTATGAAGTCACAAGTGCATATTTCCTGGAAAACTCTACACACTATTGTACATTCTTGGAGCCTGGGGAAGTCTGGATCGGCAGAGGTGAGGAACTACAAATCTCAACATGACTGGGCGTGATGGTACTTATAGTTCCACAGCAATGTGGCAGTGAATGTCTAATCCTGCTCTAGAAGCGATCTAAATAATATTTTCTAGAGATTCCATCCCCATAACTGTGTGTGTTTGTGTGTGTTTCTGACTTGCACCTCCGGTCTACAGTGGAGTGTCCTTGTTGCTATATATATATATATATATCTCAAGCAAAACAAATGAACAATACAAATGTAGATAGAATTTCTCAACTTATGGAGGAACTAGAAGCCAAAGCATGCTCACATTTCAAAATACACTTCCTCTGGCAGTGAAAGGGTTAAGGAGTATGGAAGTGGGAACTTGTACTGTATTTATACCCCCCACCCTTACCTAATAACAAGCTTTTTGATTTACCACTTCGAGGAATCACTCAGTAACAGTCCCTAATACATGCAACTAAGAAATGTCATTGTACTTCTGTAAATATTGGATTAGCTCTTCAATGACTGGGCTCTCGAGCAGAAGCCAAGAGCCCGGCTAAGGTTTGCTACATAAGCCCAATGGTCAATAGGTAGCCAACATCACCATGCTCATTTTAATGGCCTACTTCTAAAAGCAGCAAAGGTAAAAACAAAAAAGAAAAGGCCCACTCCCTTCCCTGTAGGGCTGCCTTTTAAACCCAACGTTGGCTTCAACACCTGACTACTGCAGATCCAATTTCAAGGCCAATCCCCCAATACAACATTAGCTTACTGGCCCTTACAAAACCAAGTTCTAATTTCCTACTTGTCGGTAAGCTTAAATAGCTCCTAATCAACTTAAGGAAAGCTAGTTACAGATCCACAAAGCCACCAGACCCAGCGGATGTTTAACAGACCTCTTGGAATGATTTACTTAAATAACAAAAAAAAATTATTTAAACAAAAGTACAAAATTACAGCACAAATGCAAACAAAAAAAAAATTAAATAAACACCATGATCTTTTTTTTTTTCTTTTCTTTTCTTGACATTATACATCCCAGTTCACATCGATCCCTGTACTTTGAAGGGCAAAACACAATTGCAACATTGAAACAGTTGATTCACAAAAGGCATTATTGTGTCCAGCAGTCAGTGTACATATTCAATTAATTATGACGTCCACAGATTTTGTTTTCTTTTCTTTTTTTCTCTCTCTCTCTCTCTAGTCCTACGTGTGTGAAACAAGCAGAATCAGTTCTTTTCTTGTCCATTATTGTAGCATTCTATCGATTTTCCCAGCACTTTGTTAATATGTAACAGACTAAAGCGATTACAGGTGCCAGCAGCTGGGTCTACACAGAGAAATCTTAGGTATAGCTGGTCCAATATTGTCTTCGACACTTGTGCCCTCACTAAAAAGGAAGACATGGATAGAATGGGTCAGATCTAAATAGTATTTCACCACTGGAATTTTTATAATGCACACTTTTGTCGTCCAATAACTACTAAATAAATACGTCTATTAAATCATTTCCTAGACTTGGGAGCACTTAGAATATTTTTTATTTCATAGCAGCGGAAGTGTAATTAGCATGTCTGCTTATAGTGTCATTTTTGTATTTTATAGTCCTGAGTCCTAGCTGAGGTTTCTCCCAATTTCCTGTGGAATGACAGGCAAACTTGTCAGAGGGCACGGACAAAAAAAAAAAAAGAAGGGAGGCTGTTATGCCTTTCTCCTTCCACACGAATAAATATAGCACGAATTTTTAATTCGTCTTCCTTTCACAGACAACAATGCTGGTTTTGAATGCTGGACACAATTTGGGTTTTGTGAAAGTGTCTTTTTTTGCCCTCCCTCATCCCAGCTGTCCATATGGAATACAGCGTGTACAAGTTGGATCACAATGGAAACAACTGACAGGCACAACAAAACCTCTAGGACGGTTCTCCCTGTCTCTGGGATGCACTGCTACTGATAAACCAATTCAATAGCAGGCACAGGAAAGAATAGAAGAGGAAGAAAAAAAAATCACTATCTTTCTTTGGGTCCCCCATGGGTCTCTTTCATTGAGACTTGTTAATATGCACGCCTCTTACATCCACTACTACCAGCCTTTCTCATTGTGCTGTTTTGTCCTGTCTACTGTATATTGTTCAAAGATAGACTGCACAAACTGCCCCATTAGAGTGTGAAATTTAAGGCCAGAGGGGTTAGGGCCACACAAGGCTTGGAGGCTTTTATTGACTCAGGTACAAGATGCCAGTTACTATGCTCTTTTCGTGGTTTGGAAGTTAAAATGGCAAGGTACCAGGAACAGACAATAGATCTAGTTTGTGTATGGGGAAAACTCCTAGACACAATTCTTATCATGAGGAAATACATATTTATATACATTAATACCAGTGTCTGCATACATAGTCTTTACTATATACAATATATTACTATGCACATTATTAAGAGTCCCTATAGTTACATAAAGACACATGTGATGTCTATCTATCTATATCTATCTATCTATCTATCTATCTATCTATCTATCTATCTATCTATCTATCTATCTATCTATCTATATCTAACACACACACACACACACACACACACACTATCAAGTAAATATTATCTTATGTGTGTGTGTGTATATCTA